AATTACTTTAGACAAGGTTTTATAATCTACATTCAACTGTGGGGGAGGCAATGGCTTAGTGGTATTATCGCTGGATTGTTAATCCAGAGATCCAGATAATGTTCTGGGGACCTGGGTTCAAATCCCGCCACAGCAGATAGTAGAATTTGAATTCAATAAATATCTGAAATTAAGAGTTTAATGATGTCGATTGCTGGGGAAAACCCATCTGGTTCACTAATGTCCTTGAGGGAAGGAAACTACCATCCTTAACCTGGTACGGCCTACATGTGACTCCAGACCCACAGCAGTGTGGTTGACTCTTAACTGCCCTCTGGGTAATTAGGGATGGACAATAAATGCTGCGCAGCCAGCGACACCCTCATCCTGTAAATGAGTAAAGAAAAAGTGAAACTGGTCACCAATTTCTAATTTCCTCCCTCTCCCCTTCCACTTGTAGATGTGGGTGATGAAACCGTTCCTTGTGGATTCACACACGGTGCCTGCCCGAAACATACTGTCATACACTTCCAGCAGGACCTGGCTAATCAAGTCCCACAGAGTGGAATATAACTCAGCTGGTAAGCCATCACTTCAGTGAGTTCTTCTCTTTTCAAAGGACTCAAAGGCCTTGGTCAGCTCATCCAGAGATAACAGCTGGTCTGGCCTCTCCCGCATGCTATTGCCTAAGACTTCCGTGATTGAGGACAGGAGCAATTGGGAGGCTGTGCTGTCAGTGGGCTTCGTGCCATATAGTCCCAGCAAAATAAAAGGATTCACTGATCCTCAGGACGTCAGACTGACATGACGTTACCGAGCTATCTTCCTCCTTCAGGCCGCTGAGCATAGATCTCTCCTTGTGCACCTTCTGGAAGATGAAATGCATGCACGTCTCATCCTGCTCCATGGAGCAGACCCTGGACCAGAAGATTATCTTGGAGATCTCTGAGGCAAAGAGCGAGGCTTGCTGGCTCTTCACTTCCTGGAGATCATTTGAGAAATTGACCCCCATCGTCTGCAGCAGGAACTGGTTCTGCATGCTTTTTTGTAGTTTGGACAGTTCTGCTTGCCTCTCTCTCTCTCTCTCTTTCTCTTGCCTTTTGAATACCTTTGAGGATAAAGAACCTCCTGAGGTTCCCTTTGACTGTTTCCCACCAGTCCACTGGACAGTCAAAGAGGGGTTTTACATTTCTTCAACTCGTGTAATGCCTTTTCAGCTCCTCAATGTTTTCACATTCAGCTTCCACGTTCCCTTACGAGCCACCAGTCATTCTGTAGGTGGCCAGCAGGAGGTAGTGGTCAGAGACGAACACTGGCTTGACGTTGGTGGATCTGACCGAGAACACTCGGGACACGAGCAGGAAATCTATCCTTGAGCGGATAGACCCGTCTGGCCGTGACCAGGTGTATCTGGCATCTTTAATCGTCTCTATCAGGAATCGAGACATGGCATCCGGTTTGCTGCTAGCCCCTCCGGATTGTCCATTCGCATCGATGATGCAGTTGAAGTCTCCGGCCAGAATGACCAGCCTGGAGCTAGCCAGCAGCAGTGGACGCAGGACGGCCAACCACTCGCTCTTTACTGTTGGGGCGTACACATTAATTAGTCTCAGGGGAGTATTCCTGTACATACCGTCTGCTATGAGGAGGTGCCTGCCTGCCATATCCTTAACCTCGGTGATGGTGAAGTTGCCTCCTCACAGCAGAATACCCAGGCCGGCAGAGCAGCAATCATTGCCCTCCCCGCCCGCCTCAACCACCATCACCTGATCAAATCGAAGGCCCACGGGCCCACAAGCTCGACCATTTGTTTGGCTGGCGATGAGAAGGGCTCTGCCTGTGAGATCCTTTATGCGTGCCTGGACTCTCTGCGCCACTGCACGCTGCCCTCGAAGCGGCTGTGGAGGGGGCAATATTGTCACACACCTCCTTCTGGGGTGTGTCTATGCAAAGAATGTCTAGACACAAATGCAGTAGTTTCTGTCGCGGTCCCAAGTAGCTCCATGACGTGGGACGCTGCAATCTATGGTCTGTTCCCTGGGACGTACACCGAGGCAAACATCAACTGCATCTGCAGGACCATCAACTCAGTGAAGGACGCACTTTGGTCTGCCCGAAACTTGCTGGTCTTCCCGTTGAAGGAGTTGACCCTGACTGAGTGTTGCGGACTGGCATATGCCAAGGTCCAGAACTACAGGTTGAGGGATACACTAAAGATTACGCTAACTGCCGCCAAGGTGCAGTGGGAAAAGGCCACCATGTAAGGTCCTTCTGCCAAAGCATTACGGGGGGTCAATCCAGTAATCAGACCCTCCCTGATGCCTCAGTTAAATGCCACAAGTTTAATTGTAAATATAGAGAAAGGCGAACCACAATGCTTGTTTCTTCTCTGTAAGCAAAGACAGAATAGATCTGAACGGCTTCATTAACTGTGTATGTACATAAAGATTTGCTTCTATGAATAAAGTATATTTTTGAAATAAAAGAGACTCTGGGAGAAGTTAGTGCAGTCACTACAAATGTTCAGTGCAGTGAGGAAAAACCCAGTGTCAAGAAACGGTGAAGTGTGGGCTTAAGGTGAGTAAGGCAAGCAAGGTAAAAGCAAGGTAAGATTATTTTATCTTTCTCAGCGTAAAGGGGCAGAGATGGCAGTTAGGGCAGTGGTGTGCATATCCTACCAGATGTGGGAGATCAGGGAGCAGTCTAGTGCCTCTGATAACTACGTCTACAGGAAGTGTGACCAGCTGCAGCTCTTCCTAGACCACGTGTTTCGGTTGGAGAGGCAGGTGGACACGCTGCAGACCATACGGGGACAGAGAGCATGATAGACACTAGTTACAGGGAGGTGGTCACACCACAGATTCAGTCAGGTAGATGAGTAACGACTAGGAGAGGCAGGCAGGTAGTCCAGGAGTCTAACAGGTATACCGTTTTGGATACTGTTGCGGCTGGAGGGGGGGCGCAGTGGATGGCCTCCTGGGGGAGTATAACAGCAGCAGCTAGGCCTGTGGCAACACAACTGGCTCTGCTGTAGAGCAGGGTTGGGCAAGATCCAAGTGAGCGATAGTGGTAGGAGACTCGTTAGTTAGGGGCATAGACAGGCATCTCTGTAGCTGTGTCCAAGACTCCAGGATGGTGTGTTGCCTTCCTGGTGCCAGGGCCAAGGACATCTCTGAGCAGTTGCACGACATTCTTAAAGGGGAGGGTGAGCAGCCAGAGGTCGTGGTGCACATTGGTACCAATGACATAGATAGAAAGAGGGAAAAGTGGTCCTGCAGAGTGAGTACAGGGAGTTAGGAAAGACGCAGAAGAGTAGGACATCGAGGATAGTAATCTCTGGTTTACTGTCAGTGCCACGTGCTAGTGAAGCAAGGAACAGAAAGATAGGACAGATGAATGCGTGGCTAAGGTGCAGGGGGCAGGGTTTCAATTTCTTGGATTGTTGGGACATTTTCTGGGGCAGGGGTAACCTGTTCAAGAGGGACAGGTTGCACCTAAACTGGAAGGGAACAAATATCCTTTCAGGGAGGTTGGCTAGTGCTACATGGGAGGCTTTAAACTATAGAGGCAGGGGGCTGGGAGATCAGAAAGCGGAGGGATTGAGGGGAAGGTAGATGTTAAGACCAGTAAATCAGAAAGAAAAGACAGGCATAGACAGGTAAAGGAATACGATGGTACCAAAGGGTTTATTTTAACACAAGGAGTATTATAGGTAAGGCAGATGAGCTCAGAGCCTGGATCAGTACATGGGACTATGTTATTGTGCCCATTACAGAGATTTGGTTGAGAGAGGTTGAGAGAGGCTGCTCAACCTTCCAGGGTTTTGTTGTTTTAGACACAATAGAGACAAAGGTAGAAGAGCTGGAGGAATTGCATTACAAATCAGGGAGAATGTTGCATCTGCACACAGGGAGGACACACTGGAGTGCTTACCCACTAAAGTAATATGATTAGAGCTCAAAAATAAGATGAACTCAATCTTTCTGAGAGGATTATACTATAGGTCCCCCAACAGCCACCGAGACATTGAGTAACAAATATGTAGGCAGATTACGGAAAGGTGCAATAAAAACAGAGTTGTCATAGTGGGTGACTTTAACTTCCCCAATATTGACTGGGACTCCCTTAGAGCAAGAGGCTTGGACAGGGCGGAATTTGTTAAGTGCATCCAAGAGGGTTTCTTGAAACCATATATGGGTAGTCCAACTTGAGGAGGGGCCACACTGGACCTTTTATTGGCTAATGAACCTGGCCAGGTGACTGATCTTTCAGTGGGACAGCATTTTGGAAACAGTAATCACAACTTCTTAAGTTTTAAGACAGCTATGAATAAGGATAAGCCAGCACCTTGCAGGAAGGTACTAAATTGGAGGAGGGCAAATTACATCAGTACCTAGGCAGGAGCTACAGAAGATTAATTGGGAGGAGCTGTTATCAGGCAAATCCACATTTGACACGTGGGAACTGTTTAAAGACCTGCTGGGGAGAATTCAAGACCAAAATGTTCCAGTAGACCCTTTTCTGAAGAAGGGTCCAGACCCAAAACGTCAACTTTCCTGCTCCTCTGATGCTGCCTGGCCTGCTGTGTTCCTCCAGCCCTACACCTTGTTATCTCTTGTACCAGGAAGTTGCTTGGATTAGAGGGCATGAGCTATAGGAGAGACCAGAAAAACTCATGTTGTTTTCTCTTCCGCGGTGGAGGCTGAGGGGAGACTTGATAGAATCGTAGGAGTCTGGAACACGCTGCCAGGGGTGGTGGTGGAGGCAGATAAGGACATTTAAGGGACTTTTATATAAGCACATGAATATGCAAGGAATGGAGGGATATGGACCAAAGGCAGGCAGAAGGGATTAGTTTCATTTGGCGTCATGTTCAGCACAATATTGAGGGCCAAAGGGCCTGTTCCTGTGCTGTGCTCTTCTATGTTCTATGTTCTATACAATGATTTCAAAAGTCACTTGTGATGCCTCTCACTGTGCATTTTGCCACTTAAATGGAATGAAGTCTAAAAGCTTACTACCTTGACATGACCTCCCATCAGGGTTCAGTAGGAATCCAGCATTACACTGGCAGGAGTAGGAACCAGCGATATTGGCGCACAGCTGCTGACAGTATCCATGTCGACATTCATCAATGTCTGGAGAGGAAACAGACAGGAGTTTAAAGAGAGAAATGTTTTCACATTCAAAACAAGAGATAATCACATAACATTTTACCCCTTTAGTTATCCCTTAACTTCAGAGATGAATACAAGGTAAAAGCTTTCCTTTTGTTTTGTGGCACAGATAATGTTATTTTAGGACATTCCATAAACACAGGAGATATTTTAATTCAATCCTTCTCATTTTAATTAAACATCTTAAAAAATGCCTATTTGCTCACTCCAAGCTCAGACAAAGAGTATGAGAAGCTTTTGATTGCCTTAGTGCTCAACCATCTCTCACTTTCAGTCTTAAATATTTTCAGTAATTGAGCATTTGCAGCCTCTAGGGCAGAGAATTCGAAAGATTCACAATCAATATTCCTCCTATCTCAATCTGAAATGTCTAGCCCCTTATCCTGAGACTCAGTACACTTGTCCATAATTCTCCAGCCGGAAGAAAAGCAGACTCTGAGCCTCTCAAACTCTTGAAGAAATGTATACTTTTCAATGCGTGACTTTTCGTTCTCCTGAACTCTAGAGAATTTAAAGCCCAGTATGTTTGCTTTCCCTTCATAGGTCAATCCTATCACTGTGACTAGTGACTGAGCTCCAACTTTAATCTACCTCACAGAAAGAAAGTCAATGCACCATTTAGTACCTCTGGAAAATCCATGGGATTTGTCCAACAGGAGACTGGCACATTCCCTGAAGTGCAAACAGGTAAAAATGGCTGTAAATTTGGAGGGAAATCAGAAATAAACCATAATGTCTCACTGTCCTAAAGTGTTATTATTAATTAACTGTCTCACAATTTGCTTTCTGAAAATTCATTTGTTGGATGCGGGCATCGCAGCCTCAGCCAGCACTTATTGCCCATCTCTCGTTGCCTTTGAGAAAGTGATGGTGAGCTGTCTTCTTGAACCATTGCTGACCATGTGCTGTAGATAGGTAATGTTGAACATAGGGATGTGGGGTGGGGGGTGAGGGGGAAGGGGGCAGGGAATGTGCTAGAACTGATTGGAGAATCATCAGGCTGTCCTTTACTCTGATTGGACATGGTTGAGGGGCCATAATGATTCCTGTCAGAAATGGCTTCCTCCTTTCAATCTTTGTCAGCAAAGTCAGGAAAATCACCTTTCGTCAGCATAGTGGAGAATATTGTGAGAGACAGTAAGAACTGCCGCTGCTGGGGTCAGAGAAAACACAGTGTGGAGCTGAAGGAACACAGCAGGCCAGGCAGCATCAAAGCAGCAGGAAAGCTGACGCTTCGGGTCGCAACCCTTCTTCAGAAAATCTTTCCTGCTCCTTTGATGCTGCCTGGCCTGCTGTGTTCTTCCAGCTCCACACGGAGAATATTGTAAGCCTGTATCTGGGTGTATTTATCATTTCGCCTGAGGAAAAAGATTTGTTCGTCCTGTTGCTACACAGCAACTGGAGGATATCATCCACACCCATCTAAGCCTGCTTTCCCAGATGATGCACAAGGTAGAAGGTAGGCAGTTCCTGACAGAGACGTGGGGGACAGCTATTCGGAGAAAGGCTTACATTTTTAAAAAGTGCTGGGACCCGCGTCAAACCTAGATATTCTGATGCCTGGCTAGTGAGTGGGACCGGGAGGAGGAGTGTGATTGAGAAGGTCCTTAACAGTTAATGGGGTGGATGGGACTCAGAGGGAATAGAATCATAGTCATAGAGTCATACATAATGGAAACAGACCTTTCAGTCCAACCAGTCCATGCCGAACATAATCCCAAACTAAACTAGTCCCACCTACCAACTGTTGGCCCATGTCCCTCCAAACCTTTCCTATTCACTTATCCAAAGGTCTTTTCAATGTTGTAATTGTACCCACATCCACAACTTTTTCAGGAAGTTCATTCCACATGTGAAATTTGCCCCCAGGTGTGTTTTTTTAAATCTCTCTCCTCTCATCTTAAAAATGTGCCTTCTCGTCTTGAAATTCCCCACCCTGGGGAAACAATACCTACCATTAACCCTATCTGTACCCCTCATGATTTTATAAACTATAATAAGGTAACCTCGCAAGCTCCTATCCTCCAGTATAAAAATACAGTATTACTTTGAAATGAAAATACTGGTCGTACTGGAGGAACACTGTTCTGTGGTACACAAGACAGGTCAAATCCCTACGTATCATTTGCAAGCTTTACCGATTCTTCCTTCTGTGAAGGAGGTTCCTGCTGAGAGTGGGGGTTCTGATTAGGATTGAGGGAGAGGATAGGTTTCAGCTTTGGAAACATGAGAAATCTAATCTGGATGGAGTTTGGGAGGGAAATGAGGGTAAGAATGGGATCATGGCAGTCTGGGCTGGGTCAGTGAGATCTGGTGGAGCAGGTTGAGTTGGAAGCAATGGCACTGGAGAATGTGTGATTGGAATAGATTGCCCATGTGAGACCAGTCAATCTGACAGGGAATGCGCAAAGCCCAATGTACTTGTTTTGCAGCTTCTACTTCTTATTAGCTAGTTCACTGGTTCACTTACTAATTAGCTAGCTCACTGACCTAAGACTCACCATGAGAGAGCTCAAACAGCAAAGGACTTGAGCATTGAAACTACAAAAATTTGAGTCCTAATCTATTTCCTCCCCATTTGTCCCTGCAGGGATAGCATCACTGAGCAAGAATCCTGCATGATTTTAATTTAATTCCTTCACTTATCATGAAATGAATTAACACTTACCCATACACTGTCCCTCTACTAACCAATAACCCTCAGTGCAGGAACAACTGTAGCCTCCCTCAGTGTTTATGCAGATCTGTGAAGGGTTACATTGGTGGGTTCCTGATGTACATTCATCTATATCTGTACAGGGGGAAAAAGACAAATATGTTAGAGATGCTGCAAAATTATTTCAAAATGCTAAGGTCATTCTTCAAAGGGAGTTAAAGAGAGATGACTCGTTCGTCCATAGCAAATATGAAAGATAGAACTTTTACACATAACAACACAAGAATTAGGAGCAGGAGTTGGCAATTCAACCTCTCAAGCCTGCTCCTCAATTTAATATGATCATGGCTGATATCATCTCAGCCTCAACTCCACTTTCTTGTGCATTCTCCATAACTGTTCAATCCATCAGTAATTAAAATTCTATCTTCCCCTTAAATGTCCTCAATATCCCAGTATCCACCTTACTCTGGGGCAGTGAATTCCACAGATTCATGACCCTTTGAGAGAATAATTTTTCTTCACTTGTTTTAAATCTGCTACTCTCATCCTAAAAGAATGACTTCTCATTCTAGCTTGCTCCACATGAGGAAACACCCTTTTCACGTCTACTTTGTCAATCCCCTTTAGCATCTTGTATACCTCAATTAGATCTTCTCTCCTTCTTCTAAACTCCAGACAGTATAGGCCTAAACTGCTCAAAACACAAACCCCTCACCTATGGAAGCAATCTAGTGAATGTCCTCTGAATTGTCTTCAATCCAATTGCATCTCTCCTCAAGTAAAGGAACCAAAGGTGTACACAAAACTCCAGATGCAATCATACTAATGCCTGTTCAGTTGCAGCAACACTTCCCTATTTTTATATTCTATTCTTCTAGCAATAAATGCCAAAATTTCATTTGCCTTCCTTGTTACCTGCTGTACCTGTATGCTAGTTTTCTGTGATTCATACACAAGGAGACCCAGATTGCTTTGCACTGAAACACTCTGAAGTTTCTCTTCGTTTAGATATTAAGTTGCCTTTTGATTCCTCTGACCTTACACTTATCCACGTTAAATCTCATCCACAAAATTTTGGCCCATTCACCGAACCTATTCATATGCATTTGTAAATTTCTTATCTCTGTGTAGAAGTCATAGATTGTAAGTAATTGGGATCCAAGGATTGAACCCTGTGGCACCCCACTAGTTACATTTTAGCAACCAGAAAAAGACCCATTTGTCCTGACTCTCTGCTTTCTGTTGGATAGCCAACCCTCTATCCAAGTTAATTACCCTTAACCTCATGTGAGCTTATCTTGTGTATTAACATTTTGTGTGGCACCTTATTAAGTGAATACACTGGAGAAATGGTACTCAAATAGCACAACAACACATGGGACAGTTTCTCTTCATACTTTCACTTATACCGGCTGCATCTCTAAGTTAAGAATTTGAATGTTTCTTTGTTCATCTACAGACAAGGGGAAAAATAAAGACTAACAGTCAAATAGCACCTTCTGCAGCCTCTGGACATTCCAAAGCACACTACCATCAATGAACACAGCAGGCATTTCTGAAGAAGTATCTAGGCCCGAAACGTCAGCCTTCCTGCTCCTCTGATGCTGCTTGGCCTGCTGTGTTCATCCAGCTCTACACCTTGTTATCGCTACCATCAATGAAGTGCTTTTGAAGTGTAGTGATGCTTGTGCTGTAGGAAACACGGCAGACCATCTGCATAGCAAGCTCTCACATATAGTAATGTGATAACAGCAAAATATTCTATTCAGTGTTGCTGTTGAGGGATAAGTATTGGCCAGGACAACTCTTCTTAGTAATAGAATCACAGGGTCATTAATACCTAGCTTAGAGAAAAGATAGAATTGATGTTGAATGATGCTACCTCTTTGCTGCACTGGAGTATAGCTTATAACTTTTTGTGTTAAATTGACTGAACTGGACCTGCCATATAAATACAGTGGCTACAATAGCAGGTCTGAGGCTGGGAATCCTGCAGTGAGTAATTCATTTCCTGACTCCACAAAGCCTGCCCATCATCTATTCCCCACTTGCCTGGATGGGTGTAGCTTGAACAACAGTCAAGAAGCTTGACACCATCCAAGACAACACAGTCCTGCCCTCCACATTGACATCCTCCAATGCCAACGCACTCCCAGTACAATTCTGACCACAGTTCCCACTCAGATTGGGAGCAAGAGGTTAGATATCCTGAGATCACTAGTCATGGCTAGAAGTGTGACAGACTGGGACTCCCACCTGTATCTGTGGGTCCAGACCCTAGCCCAGCTTTCAGCAGTGGAGTCATTTTCATGTTCTGGGCAACTACACAGTAAGTGGTTTGTTCAATGGAAACCAGGACTGCCTTTATGGTGTTGCACTGTTCTGACCACAATGAGATCACCCAGACACAGTTCAATGGACCGTAAGTATGTTTCTTCATCACTAATACTACCTGATCTAATACCTTTGGCAACTCCAACTTATTTCAATGACTTTCAGCAAGTTCTACTGAAATGATGAAAAATATGTTTTGTGAAACTGTTGGTGCAGCCTGCAAGTCCCTGAGATGCCCTCACCTTCCCTGGCACAGGGAGAGGCAGGGGTCTACCCATGGCTCTTACCAAAAGGTGCCTGTGCAGAAAACACAGAGCGGCATCCTGGCAGATCCAGGTTCCACTTCACAGCCCAGTCCCTAAGAGATGCCACCCAAGCACCATCTGCCTAACTCTAAATAAAGGCCTAACCCATTTAGCTGTTTCTGAGGAGGCTACTGCACTGCTTTTCCAGTCTAAATGGACCCGCTGCTGTCATTGCTGCTGGCTGTCTCCTTGCCCCTCACTTAAAATCGTTGTATTCTTGAAGACTTCTTTAACTGCAGTATTTTCCACTTTCTTCTTCTTGTGAAGTTGTGGATTCTTTGTCTTGAAAATAATTTCTTCAGCTTTTGAAGCCAGGTATCTAGCTTACTGCACACTGTGTCTTAAGAGGTGTCTACGGTTAGCACTTGGTTCTGCTGGGATCTTCTTTTAGATAGTTAAGTTGCCACAAACCCTTCATGTCGTACAAGTCTGTGGAATTTATATATTACCTGGTAAAGTATTAATCACTAATAAGCCTTCAACAAAAGTCTCTTACACAATAGTAGGATAACAGGATAAATTAGTTTAAGGCTGTGGTTTACCACCTTAACACTGGGTAAGAGACATTGTTGTCTCCTAAGAGATTGTAGCTACAGACTAGAAACCCATTAACAACAATCCTCACAGAAACGATCATTTATGTACCAGTGGGAGGAGGTATTCCAAAATTTCTGAGTTAACATTTGCAGACCGACTACCTTAAACAATAATTTCACTCTCTGCTACTGCCTCAGGCCACTCAATTCCTCACTGTCAACTTTGAAGGCACCCTCAGTACTACCTTGTATAAATTAAAATGCATCTGAAACTTCATTGTCACTTAATTCAATGCACTGGTCAATATCCATGGCTTTGTTCAGACATCAGTACTCAAGGCAGAAACACTCTCTATTTCTGCAACCTGTTCATAATTATGACCAGACATAACCACAGAGACACCTTGCTGGGGAAATGCTCTAACATAACAGTGCCTCCACTTTGGGTTTTAATTGACCGATGGTCTCCACAGAATTCTTTCAATCAATTCCTTGCTAGTGCCTGCAGAACCCCAAATATTTCTATGAAAACATTACACAAAATCTACCTCTTCGACTTTGCTATAATAAAACAAGTAACAGTGGGTGTTGAAGATCTAAAACAAAAGGTAGAAATTGTTGGAGAAGCGAAAAGTAGAAACTGTTGGAGAAACTCGGCAGGTCTGGCAGAATCTGTGGAGAGAAAGCAGAGTTAACGTTTCAAGTCCCATGACCATTATCAGAACTAGTCCAGAAGGGCCCCTGGACTCAAATGTTAACTTTGCTTTCTCTCCACAGATGCTGCCAGACCTGCTGAGTTTCTCCAGCAATTTCAATTTTTGTTTTATCTTCAACTCTGCTATTGGTTAACTACTATAACTCATCTTTCATAAGAGCAATCATTGCATCTGTGTAAGTTGCTATGAGATATTTTACAAAAATGTGCCATGGCTGTTGCTATCATTGTTATGACAATTGTATCTACTTACTGCTTTAATATTCACTGGTCCTGCACAACATTTCAGTTTAAATTATATTTATTTGGCTACATTTTAAAGGACACCTCCTGCGCACACAGCATATTAACTCTTTGATAGATTTTAAAGTATTATTCATCAACTTGTTCAAACACATTATGACACACTTCCAGGACAGGTTACACTTGAACCTGAACCTAAACCTTCTTGATAACTTTTAATGATGACAGAAAGTCAATTAAGAATAAATTTTTTTTTTATTCTTGGAGCACAGAACATCAGATGCTGGTAACAACAGAAACCTTCTATGTTAAAGGTGCAATATAAATGTAAAACAACCAAACAGTCTTCACAGAAATGATTATCAAACAGAATTTGGCACTAAGAATACTGGACACAGAGGATTGTGTACTCATTATACAAACTGCCTAATGTTCCTGACATGCAAAACAATCCCATTATTTCCCTTCGAAAGCATGCTGACCTCTGATTTAACAAAAAAGTTATATTCATTGGACTTTAAATTGCACTCTTCGTAAGAAAGTTCATATCCCATAATAGGGAGGTCCTAAAGTATTTAGAGAGAGGATCTGGGAGCAGAGAATTTGACCACTAATTCAGCGGGTGAACTGTGAGATAGTGAGAAAGTGCTGATGAATAAAAAATGGCCATGAGATTATCGAGGCAGCATCTCCAGAACAAATATTACTAAATTAATCTACGGAGAAACTCTTCCAACGAATTCCTTGCTAGTGTTTGCAGAACCCCAAATATTTCTGCAAAAACATTACACAAATGAAGTGGAAAGATTCCATTGCAGTGATTGAATTGTTATATTCCTGCAGCACCAGTTATTTCTGGTTCAGCTGTCATTTGGTAATTGCCCCCTCCTGTTCTACATCCTCACAACAGAATTCCCAGGAGGTCATTTATCTGATATTACAATTAAGGATAGAATTTATTATGAAAATAATAAATCCTCAGGGCAATCAGTGCATTAG